TCTAACTATTTATTTTGAAGAAATAATTATCACAGCACATATGTGGTGAGAGTCTGTTGTTGTAATTGCTGAAAGGTGCACAGCAGTAGAATGTGTACCCTGAGGACCATTTTATAGTCTTGGTGTCACTTAAGTATTGAGTTATATTAAAGTGTTTATGGTTTTTTTTTTTTTTAGTTTGAATGTTTAAGAGAGGCGACATCAAAACAAGACACGTGCTAGATGGTTGTGCTCAGGCATTGATTAGTTTTATTCTTTAGTGTTAAACCTTATAGGGACATGTTCTTTGGTTTATTTGCTTTTTGAAGACGGACAGCTCTCTGCAGTGTGCACTATGGTACCTAACTGCTGTTCTACGATGCTGCTTTCATAGAAGAATTGACATGACCTGGCATAGCCATTGGTTAAAATATACAGAGGTCTTATTAGACCTCATTTTTGAGGTGGATGTTTTGTAAAGCTTTGTGCAGTTATTAGCTTTAGGAACATGGTACAAACCAAAATACCTGGTAAATCACTTSCAGAACCATGTTATTCATTTTTTTAATATGTGTATGTACATATTTAAATGTATTTATTATTTTATATTTATTTTACTGCACCATTACAATTTTAAGTCAATCACTTAAGAGAAAAAAACAGTATCTGTGCGTCTTGGCACTGCAACTGTATTCTTGGATGAGCAACAATTGACTTAAAAAAAAAAAGTTAACATATCTCTTGTTTAAAAATTCCTTGTGCAAACTAGTAACTATTGATGAATAATCTACATAATCTCAGAAATAAGGAAKAGTTCCTCAGGACTAGAAAACAAGGACATATGGGCCCCAACAGTCACAAAGAGAGATGCTCTCCTGATTTGCTGCCTGCTCCTTGCCCAGTTTTTGGGAAGAGCAGTGGTGAATTACAGTATGAGATTTATCAAGGACGAAAGTTTGTGTGTCTAGTCTATTTTTTAAATTTATTTATTTTTTTCACTGAAAAGAAAATTGCCCAGGCCTTCTAAAATACTGCTTTCCTCAACAGATCATTTCCTTTGCCTCAGGAAGCTGGCTTGCAGGGAGCCACCGCTAAATCAAGCTGCAAGATGGTAGTGGAATGGGGGGGGGGGGAAAAGGTGTTTATTGGCAACAGACATTTGTAAATAAGTAATTGACACTCYTGCTATAACAATGAACAGTTCCAGAAAAAAACAGGGAGCTGCCAAAATCAACAAGGCTGCAGTGCATTCCAGCCAAGGCTGCATATGTAGGGAGGTCGGGGTGCTCCCAGTGTGAGCTCTGCACAGCACACCCTGCCTGCTCTCCCTGCTTCTCCCTGCACTTCCAGAGGGCTCCTAAGTCCTGGACAGGAGCCTTGCTGTGTATATACACAGTACAGTTATATATATATAWAAAATACATATTATATGTGTTTGTGTGGAGATATATCTATACGTGTATGTGTGTGTGTGTATGCATATATATATACATATACATATAATGTGTATATATGTGTGTATATGTGCATATATATACATATATCTACATTATATGTATATGTATATATATGCATATACATACACATATATATACACATTATATGTATGTATATATATACATATACACACACACACACACAGAACAATACAGTGTGTGCTTTTGTTAGGGTGGGGGGCTAGATTTATCACCAAACTTTTGTATTTCAATTTTTTTTCCTTTGCATGCCCAGAAGTGCTTGTTCAGGCCACCATCTTTTAAGGGAGTGCTTCGAAGGCACAGGAGCTCCGCTGAACTTGGGACACGGAGCGGTCATGGCTGAAGATTTAAACAAGGGAGCACAGACCTCTGCACTAACCCTGCTCACTAGAGCAGCTCTGAAAGGCGCCACTCATCCCATGCCTGAGCTAGGTAAGAGGCTGGCTTTTGTGAGTGTGATTAATTAGTTTTATTACTGAAGGAGTATGCATAGCAAGAGCCTTCTAGTCTTCCAATCCAGAGCCACGGCTTAAGAATAGTTGCTGTACAAATTTCTGTAACTTTTGGCCTTGTATTGTTTAAAAAAAATTAAATAGCTTTCCTAGAACTGAAGAAAACTTGAAAGAATGCAGATTTTCCTTTGGTAAATTTAAATTTTMAGTAGGAGGTCAATACAGGTTGCTTAAGCTAAAGCAGAGAGAGTTAGCATGTTGCTACAAGGAACACTTTAGGAATGCCTCTAACATCCTCCCTGCCAAAGAAGGTTCACAGTTTTGCATTCAGACAAAGAGGTGCAGGGAAGCCAGAAAACACAGCAGAGAGAGACAGGATTTCAGTGAACTGTGTGTTAGGTGTCTGGTACTAGATGCAGACTGTAGCAAGTGCAATTATACAAGTAAGGGCATGGATCTGTTTAATTGCTTTCATTAAAAATGTTTTAAATCATAAATAGCTAGCAAACAACAAACAGGACAAAGCAAATACTATAGTAATAGATTGACATCCATATATATTACAAAGCAAATATATGCTGTTATGGAGTACAAAGCCATTATTTTTATGAAAAGTGGTAAGTATTTCCAAAGAGACGTTGCATTGCTGTGTCTATTCTAGGTTAATAGCATTTTAATTGCTTAGGAATCTCATTAGCATTTTTGCAATGACAGCACATTTCRGCAATGTCGCAATGAATAAAGCAATGAGTAAAAAAGGTTATCCTCAAATTTAGCTCTTTACTTTCAAATATTTCCCCAAAATATTAATTTTTAATGTCTATTCAACCAAGCTCCAGCCTTGTGAACCGGTTGCCTGCTGTTCAGTGCAGATACAKTGCTTAGTATTTGCACTATCTGAAGATTTGTCTGCATACATAGGACTTTTTACCCAGATGAAATCTCTGAAGACTTTGGCAGTGTCAAGCCCTGCTGAAGTGTTCACAACCATGCCATTTAAAAATGTAATTTTCAAAATTTCTAAATCTACTTCCCAAATATTGTAAACAAGGGTAGCCAAACTTTTCCATTTTGTACCAGTGCTCATGCTAAGGGAAGACCATGCCCCTTCTCCAGCTGTGCATCTGCTTGGGCAAAAGCTTCCCAGCAAGGCAACAAGCACACAGACCCTTGCTCCTTGAGATCTGCATGGGTTTTATTGGGATCAGAATCTGGCTGTTCTTATTGGTGATTTTTATTAGTAATGGGTTGAGTTGTGCCATATGGATTGTTTCCTGGCACCAGGATGGATATTTTCTAAGTTACCAGCCATTTCAGCATCACAAGCTGTTGCAGCAGTGCAGTTGCTACAGTTACAGCAATGCATTTGTATGCTGTAATGCGTAACAAAATGCCATGCGCTTTAAATACCAGCTTTGCTGGCTGTTGTGGATCCAGGGCCTGTGTCCAAGTCCTTTCTTAGTACGTTACTAGACTGAACATTATAAATCTAGATGAGCTATTTTCAAAACTTATTCTTGAAAGCTTACCTGTGAATTCTCTCAAGAGATGCCTAGACAGAGTTGCCACTTAAGTCAGCGTTGTAGAAAGGGCAGAGGTTTGGAGATGGGCTTCAACTGTTTTTACCAAACCTCTGCTTAGATAGTTGTTTGAAATGCAAGTATGATCATATGCTTTTTCCTGTACAGCTAAAGATTTTTTTTTTTCCCTTTTCCCACAGATGGGCATATTTTGCCAGGAAAAGATTATTCTTAAGCATCAGGTAAGAAATATTGGTAAAATATTTAGGGAGGAATAAGAAAAGACATTTAATATATTTAATCTTATTATACATTTTTCTACATTTAAAGTCAACAGGCTGCAAATAATATTCTGCTACAAAGCTTTTTGTAAGAAATATCTCTATAAGAAAATACATCTTGTTACACATTTCCTGTAAATAAATTATCCCACGTAACTAAGCTTTGTGAGAGGAAAAGGCAGGTAAGGCTGAGGAGAGGAAGAGCTAAAAATTGCTGAGAGCCACTTTGTGCACCTCTTGCCTGCCTACATGCGCAGTTGCAACGAGGGCAGTTGAGCTCCTCTGCTGAGTACATCCTGTATCAGGGTAACTAACACTTGCACAACTGACAAGCACTGATGGAGAAATGTATCAGGTATGGCCTTATACCCAGCTGTGTGGAACTGATTAAACAGAAAAGCCTCTTGCATTACAAAACATGAAAATGAGTAATTATAAATGGGTAGTTTCAGTTACAGAACAGGACTTCTTTAAAGAAACATCAGTCTCTTTACCAATGTCTATACAAAGAAGTACTTGCAAATAAGTAAAACAATTTAAAAGACCTGTGCGAGAAGCCAAGGGATGGACTTTGTCCTTTTCCTTTTCTTAAATCGGGACACAACACTAGATTGGTTAGCTGTTTCATAGTCAATGTAATTCCATCATTCCTGGCTGAAGAGCTCAGGCTYGGGAAAGATCAAGTTCAGGTTGGATGCATGCTAGAGGGTGGCACAGGGCAGCATCACAGGATCTTTATGCCAAGTCATCATCTTCATCATCTTCTTGCAGCCTTTTCTGCAGGAGAGAAGGCACTTGCAAGACCCAGCRCCACCTTTGCTGGCGCTAACCAACAAGAAGGCTTCTGTGAAGTATAGTCATATTTAGCACTATCAGCAAACACTAGCCCATTACTACCAGTAGAAGGTAAAACTTCTGCATTAGCAGTACAGTCCAAACCCCCCAAGATGTGCCTATCATCTTGTGTAACAGCAACAGTGGTACAAGTGTAGTTCTTCAAATACCATCAACACTCCACTACCTAGTCTGAAAATAACTATAATGAAAATATGTTTTGACAAAGAAAGTATATTTAGGACTAATGAGCAACTGCTTGTATATAATTCTGGATTCAGCCTGCACATATTTGCTTCATCTGTTCAAGCCAATGTATGCTAGCAATAAACCAAGACAAATACAAGTGAATAAGTGCCATACTAAGACACTGAACTACATAAAACATTTCAGTTTTTCCTATATACAGGTACAAAACTCTATTTAAATGCTTCTGATTAGAGAAACTGCTGCTCTCTTGCAATCAGGAGATGACAACTTTTCCTTTCTTCCATCAGGGTCCGCAAAATGTAGCACTCTTGTCCTGCAGGAGTGCTGTGAAGCATCAGCTCCCAATAACAAGGGTGTGTGGACATTCACAGTAATTTCATTTCCATCTCTCACCTGTAATTCGTAATCAATAAAGTGTTGATAGACAAGTCTTGCTGGCAAGCACTCTTTCATTTGGGAGTACAAAGTAGCAATGTATACAATCTATTGAGCAGTCATTACTGTGCTAGAAATCCACTTTAGCCCTAACACTGAACCTCTAGGACAACCTGGGACAAGAGAGCAAGGTAAGTGGCACTAATTCCCACCGTATTTGTTTGTGCACTAGCATTTCCCACAAACTGCTGACATCTTTTACAGAAGAGCTGCACAATAGAAAATCTTCAGCTGCACTTGCGCTTATCCCAGGCTAAAAAAAGAAATGCTACCTAATAATTGCTATAGCATTCTGTTTTCATTTGCAGTCCGTATTTCCCACCATACAGAAAGCCACAGTTACTTAACAACATCTTCCCAATCCTCATTCAGATTTTCTGACATACATGAAGTCTAGATTTAGAAGAGGAGGTCGCATCCTTCCATACTTTGCAGGACAGCCCTTTAGCACAGTCACAGCGTTGGAAAATCTCAAGTCCATGGGAGCCTTTCTTGCGCTGCTTGGTGCATACCTCTCCCTGATGCAATACAGGCTTGCAAATTTTGGTCCAGAAATGGCGAGCACAGCAGTGCCCCTCAATACAATCTGATGACCGAAGGCAGGGGTCTCCTTCATGTCCTAAAAAAGAGAAACTGTTTTAGCTTGTGGGGAAGAGCGAGAGCACAGATTCARTACAAAGGAATGCAAGAAATGAGAGCAGACACAGCCTCCTGGAGTACTTTGAAGGATGGAAAAACAATGGAAAGGATAAACTGAGGAAGGTTCAAGAGGGCACTTCAGCAGACCTGCCATTAGACTCAATAAGGAGAAATAGCTACAGCATTGTAAGTAAAAGGGGGAAGTGCTCAACTTCACAGCTGTTGAAACCAGAGGGTAGATGTAGCTTTGAAGAATGGAAGTCCTAGCTCCATCACTAAGTACAAAAAGAAACCAACTGCTAGGTTCAAGCACAGGACTTCTTACTA